AGCTGACAGCAATTATCCCGGAGCCCTCAGCGAAAGCACCGTCGGAGGAAGAAAAGCTCCCGCATAGCAGAAGAATTGAAAGTGGACAGTGCATATGCGCCCGCCAGTTTCACAGAAAGCCCGGCTGGGTTGAAGCGACGGCACTCAAACGCATAGGTGTGCGGTCATGGCTCGTCGACATTGGTGGAAAGGCCACACGCCGCCACCTTAATCAGCTACGCCGTTCAGGTAATTTGCCAAGGGAACCTCCCATTCAAGCAGCCACCTCGACGGAAGCTTCGTTCCACTTAGCCTGGCATCTCGCACCAGATGAATCGGCGCCGCCGCCCGCCGGCCCTGAACACAAGAGAAATGACACCCAGCGAGCGGAGGCTTCTTTTCCTAGTGCGTCCAGAGCGTCGACGCGCCCACGGCGGCCCCCAGATCGCTTCCAAGCGACAATCTAAGGAGGGAGGAGATGTTGTGTTCGAAGCACCCCTGTGTCACGAGCGAGCCTCCGAACCCGCGAAGGACCGGATGCTGAAACTGCTTCCAGATGTTGACTCCTCCCCTTCCCCCGCTCGGCGCAAACGAGCCACCGTTCGTTTCCCCCGGCAGTTCGGCCGCCGCCTCCATCCGAATAGGAATAAACTTGTTTTTAACCGTTCGAGGCTGTCTGAGCTTTTTGGACTACCACGACCAACGCGTACGTCTATGGGCCGACGACAACACCGGACATAACAAAAACTGAGTGGTCACTGATATAAATGTGACAATGTTACTTGTACTCCGGTTTCTCATGAAACAATCGAGCGCATGTGGACTCGTGTGAGAATCGGCGCTTTTGATATTGTAGAGAGTGCTGCCCAATCGAGCGTTTGCTTTCATCACGGTTTTGATACTTCTATACTTTTCGTAGTTCTCCAGGAGCCACTTATGATGTAGCACAGCTCTAAGTGCTGCTTTCAAACCGCATAATATTGAATGAGTAGCTAGGCGGATGCGTGCCAATTCTGATTTTACGTTGTGTTTTTGTGTGTGTTGGGAGGGGGGTCGGCAGGTTTCATAAAACAGGGAGTGGCTCGAAGCGATTTTGGCATGCCTACATATTCACTCGTGCACCATGGTATGTAGCAGGTGCTTATACTCCAATGAAGGCGCAGCAATGCATTAAACATGCTAAAAACAAGCAATTACATGCTTTTGCAGGCTACGACCCGCACGCTCTAAATGCAGACGCTCTTGACATCTTCAGTACTAAGTGACTGCAGCGCTGCTGCTTCTGTCACCCTTCGGAGAATAAGCCGAGATGTGGTGCAGCTGCCTAGCTCATGCCACTGCCCCCTTCTAGTACACTGTGATCGAGTCAATGGCGAGGCGAGCTGGAGCAACATGGTGGATGCGACCAATCGAGGGCCTCATAATGACCCTCAAGTATTTGCTTTTTGCGTGGTTATTTCTGAATGGAGAAGCCAGCTTACGCAGGGAATGCGAACTTGGGAAAATGCTCTTTCATATGAGATCAAGAAGCCGGTTCCCGGCCATGCCATCATGAAGTTATAATTTTTTGAAAATCGCTGTTTTCTCGGGATTTCGAGAAAAATTTTCACGGCCTTGGAGACCGACACAAACTTTAAGAACTTCTGCGCGATTTTCAGTGTAGATATTTTGGAACCAGATAGAAAAATGGTTCTAGAAACTGAAAGATTGATTTTCAAAAAATCAATTTTTTTGCCATTTCTCATGATCCCAAATCTCACGATACCATTTCTTACGATCCCCCATTAAAAATAAACAAACAATAATGTGCATGTTTTGGATGGTGGTGATCATGTCTGTGAAGTGTAAAATAGCTGGGTGGTTTAAAATAGCCAAAATTTAAAGCAGTAAATGTTGCATCCTTACTACTGAAGGAGATGTACTTGAGTTGAGAGTGAAGGTTGCTTGTACAAATGCCTCCGCCCAAGGCACACCACTTGTAATGTCAGTGACCATGGCACGTAGCTTCAGTTAATCATCGAATGCACAATACACAATAACCACTACTGGAAATTCACCACTCGGCAAAAAGAAACTGAATGAGAAAAAGTTGAAGCAGCACTCTTCACATCAATGTTATGTACATCCTTAGCTATAGTAAGAGATAAAGTCACAAAGGCATGTCACTCACAGATGCTAGTTGAGGCAAAGTATTAGTCTTTGTTTACAGTGATGCCTGCCTCCAGGTGTTGTGGCTACAGGTCATTTTTGTCTCTTCTGTCTGCTTCACGGCTAAACCTATTGGAAAAAATTCGGCAGATCCCACTTACCTTGGTAATCGATGTTTGAAGCATGCGGAGGGAAGGTGACTGTGTTGTAATATTTTTTGTTTATGGAAATGTTACAAAATGACACTAAATATATGTACCAATGTTATACACACAAACATATGTTGGACAGCCGCATATGTTTTATATCACCAGTTGCTTACAGTTGTGTAATGATGCCAACAGCAACATGGGTATTAGCAACACCAGAAGTGGTAAGCTGCTCTGCGCTTGCACTCTCGAAGAGGTAGACAGGGGCATGGCTAAATAAATTAACTTCAGTGGTTGCTGTTTAACTACAACTGACATTAACCCGACGTGATGGCTGTATCATAGGAGTACATATTGCCACACATGCTCCTTTCTTTGTGTGTTTTATGTTGCCGGCCTATTGTACGTGTAGATGCTGCCTTGTGCAAATTGCACCAGAATTTCTGGGAGCATTATAGATTATCTTGACATCATTTGTTAGGCTTGAGCATGCAAACGCGAACAGCTCAGCTTATTTTCAAATAAATGCGGCCACGCAGTGATTATGCTCGAATGTTCGATGCTGCTTGTATAAATGCCGACAAGCCTTGCCGCGGATCAAATCATGGCCACACGACGCTCTGATTGTAGATATTAGTGTACAGCGTGCATTGCTTGCTGTAATTCTGTAATTCCATTTCCCAGCCACAACGTCAGCCGAATAAAGAGTTTCACCTTAGACACGCCGACTGCTGCCTTTGTGAACACCACGACCGCGTGACAATAAGTAATGTTTGTAAAATTGAATAGCCAGCACTGCAACCACAATTGACGTTTCACGAACATTATGGTCTATTTGGAAAGCAGTTCCGAGACCTGACGTGGCTCTGTGCCAGAATACTTCGCTGCCAATCAAAATGCTGGGATTTGATTTCTGCTGCGACCCTGACATTTATTCTTTGCATTTGTCCGGCCAACGCTGAGTAGATGCAAGCTGTCAATCACCTGTGGCACATACCTGCATACCTGTGGCACGTACCTGCCTGTGGTATATGGGTATGTGCCACACCTGTCCGGCACAAAGGGTTTGACGACGTATGCGACGGGATTTTCATATTTTTGATGTCATGACCAGGGAGTCATATTCATCAAGCCATCTTACTTTCTCTTACTGATTTCGGTTTACCAAGGTTAAGGGGGTGATTGTAAGAGCACCCAGACGTAGGCTGCTAGATCTGTAGATACGTAGATAGATACACTAGAAGTGCTTGCAGTATGCAATGAAATGTTTTGCATTTAAAATTGTTTTGGTAAGATGTTCAGTACTTAAGGCACCATACTTACAGCTACCAGTGTATGTAACTATGGGGCCAAGTAATGAATTTTCAAGTGTTGAGATAGGACATTGGAGGCGATCCTTTAGGGGGTGGTAGTTCAGCTTCTCCCCTACCCCCCCATTTATGAGGGGCCTGCCTCTCCTCCTCAGACTGCATGCCATGCAGCCCTAATTAGCAGCTTCAATTTGTTTTAGGAATTTGATGTTATTCTGGAATGAACATTGCACAAAGTTTGATATTTTGGTCATAACAATGACTGACATTTTTTTTTAAACTCATGCTCAGTACACAAGTACTTTGGCCTGACGCTTCCTCAACCTCCGCCCTCTGCCTAACCTCTGATCAAATTTAAACCTACACCTTGCTCCGACAGTGTGACCTAAACTAAAAGAAACTATATGTACAGCATTATTCATCGCCTTCTATTAGAATTAACCTATCATCTGTGTACACACAGGTGCACGCACCCCCAAGTGTACAGGTGCCTCAATACTAAAATGGAGCACCTGAGCTGTGGCCTAACTAGGCAAAACTACATGCCAACATGCTTTATCAGCTGATATGCTGTATATAGCGAGAATTCTGTGACATTTATGGCTGACCTATTTCTATATCTTGATGATCGCCTTATCGCTGCCTCGAGCGAAGCTGCACTGCTGCCATCACTGCTAGTCAGAGGTGAAAGTGTTGCATTCCTGGTGATGAAGATTGTATCAGGCATGCGCTGTTGATGTCATCATGACAGCGTGTGGAAGGTTATTCTGTTGTGGTGCATCAAAATATATGAATGGGTTAGCCAGATGTGCTGACACGCTCTCACTATCTGCTGCGCATTTGCTGATAGAAAGTGCACTGGCATGCAGTTTCACTTAGTTTGGACATAGCTCGCATTCTCCATATTACTTTTGGGGCACCTGTTCAGTATCTTTCCCGAAAGTATGTGAATTGTATGTGGTATTTACATGTAACTTCCAAGTAAGTTGCTAGGGGTTTATGTTTCTGTAATGTAGACTTGCGCACATGCTAACAGAAAAGGACTGATAGGGAAAACACAAACGCTGGCTATCAGTTGAACTGTAGCAAAATGCCAAAAAAGAAAGAAAATTCAAAATTTATTTGTAAATGCTCAACGAAGGCAATGTCAAGTGGGCATTAAAAAAAGAAATTACAGTTTAAGCAGGGGGGAGGTCAGCAGAGGGCATGGGAAGCTGAAGCCCCCCCCCCCCCCCCAACTACGTTGTCTCCCCTAGAGAAAACTTAGTCAAAACAAAACGCACAGATTCTCCACCTCCGTGCCCCCTTAGGGAACTCTCCTGTCATCGGTGCAAATTCTAGAGTAGGCTTGCAATCTTGACAGAGTTGCAATATTCATTTTATTAGCTAGTTACACTGAAATTTTTTGTTGCAGGCATAAAAATTGTAGAAGGTTGCTCTGTTGAAAAAGTCACTGCACATGGCCACCAGAATGTGCATGATGTGGAAACAAACTGGGGAACTATACGCTGTGAATATTTTGTGAACTCGGCTGGATATGTGAGTACTGTTATCAGTTTTCAGCTGTTATTCACTGTATATGTGGCTGAAGGCTTAGGTAGCTGTTAGGCAAGCTTACTTGGGCCAGAAAGTAGCCTATAGAGCACCTTTGAAGAGCACCAAGGCAAAACCTTTGTCACACATTTTTTTTGCCTTTATGGATTGTCATCCACTTTTTCATCACTATATGAAGCCTTAATTCCTAATGAATGAAAAAAATTATTAACAACATCATCTTTTAATTTGACAGTTTAATGATGCATTCCATACAAAGTGGGGTCTTTGTCATTTTGAGCCAATGTGCTCGTTAAATTAGAAAAATATAATTGAACTTCTGAAGGGCACATATATCAGCATGGTGCAATGCTTGTGGGCCACATTCGTTGTGACTACCTTACCAAAAGCTGTGTGTGCTATGCACTCAGTAGGATGATAATGAGATCCTGTGTTTAAAAGTAATAGTAATTATAGGTTGCTCTCTGTACATGCTAGTTTGCATGTATAATTCTCCATATTGTCATCTAAAGCTTAATGGGAGCAAGATGGTATAGAAATTGCACTGTTAGTATTTTCACATGTTTGGCAAGCATGGTGTGCCTTTCCGGTTGCCGCATTAGTACATGCACCAAGTCACAGTATAACCAGGGCTGCAGAATTGGTAAGTGTACCAAGCTACACTTCAATCAGCGCTTTAACGTTATCCTACTAACTCACCTCAATATCTGGCTCCTCCCATTTTTCTCATGTCATTCGTGTGCTGATTGAAGTGATTGTTTCCTTTATCACTGTGATGAAATGGTATTCTCTATTTGGACTTATATGAGATTTCATCTCCTGGCTACTTCGGATCACTCTCACTCCAAATTAGCAATAGTTCTTGTTATGCCCATCCGTTGTTAGAGCAGTTCATTATCAAATGTGCTTTTTGTACATGGCAAGGAGAATATTTGCACAGCTGACCATATCTTGGGGCTTTTGAGTTGATCACCCTGACATTGGTGAGATTACCTCTATGATAGTGCCTATATTTTTAATGGTTTCTGAAAAGTGGAGAATCTTGAACTTTATTAAAATTTTGTGGAGATCTCATGTAAGGATTTCTTGCCTTAAAATCTGATCATTTAGTGTGCATCATACATGGGATTTGTGTAGAATCTGAATTGCTCGTTTATTGTCATATGTATTTCTACCTTCAATAGTTTGGCCGGCACCTTGGTAAAATGAGCATACCTGAAGTTAAGGTTCCTCTGTACCCATGTGAGCACCACTTCCTCCATACCTTGCCTGTGAAAGGCATGGATCCTGACATGCCTGGTAAGTGTTGTGACATGGTATAGCAAATCTCCCAGGCATTGTTACTGGCTATAGAAGCACATTTTTTAAAAATATGTGGTGCCACTACTGTGTCTTAGAGTATCTTGTAAAGCATGTTCATTTACAGAAAGGCGTTAACAGTCTTGCGGAAGTGATAACATGGATGCTTAAGTAACAAGATTCAAGATGATGCAGTGGTCTGGTAATAGACTGGTAGTTTTGTGTGATCAACACATTAAAAGAACCGGCTGCTCAGTATTGAATTTGTCCTACTTGTGGTGCTTCTAGGCCAACTCCATCAATTTTTCGACCTTGTGAAAGTAATTATTGTTTTATATAGCTGAGATGCCCCTGCCATGGACCCGATAGTAGAAGTACTCAGCAAATTTCAAAATAATTTTGAATAAGCATGAAAGCATAACACTGAAATTGAGACCTAGCTGAGCGATGCTCTTTTCGCATGACATATGAGTTAACGAAAACCGGAACTCGTGCAATGCATGCTGGTCCCGCAAGCTTGGAGTACAAAAACTGCAAAAGCCGCCAAAATGCTCAAAGGATAGTTGACCACGTTGTTGCAGGTCTGGGTCTCACCAACGCGTCCCCGCTCACGGTTGCCGAGACGTCGGGATTACGTTGGACCCGCACTCCTTTGGTAGCGTGGAGCGACTCCGGGTGAAGGAAACAATGCTGACAAGTTAGAAACAACAAAAACAAACAGATTTATTGGCACTTTGTGCAACTATTTACAACATAGAAGGTTAGAGTTCAGCAAACCACGGTTGTGGTGGATGAACCGTTAAACCAAGGTTGAGAGCGAGTCCCTGCACTTAGCATTGGTTGGTTTTGAATCAAAAAGAAGGAGTCTGACTGAGGGCTTAAAAAAAGCCCTCAGTCGGACTCATCCTCCTTGATTCAAAACCAATCACACACACGACACCACTTACCGTGGCATCCGCCGATAACACATGGTTGTTGATGAGTTGTTGCACTTTGAGATTTGAGATTTGGTTTATTTCACCATAATTGATACATAATAATATATACAGTTTGAACAAAGGTCGAATAGGAAAGAGGAAAAGTATCATACATGGTGAGAATAGCAGGGTAAAAGCTGCAATATCTGCAGCTGACAAACCCCACCACTCCGACACAATGGCAGCAACGTGCGGTACAGAAAGAGGTTTACTTACGGCAAACATTTCAACTCGCACTGCAAAAATCACTACACACACTCAAGAAATATTTTTTATTGGAAAGCTAAACATTTAATGAAACCATACTTAAAATAGAATTTTTAGGCATTACACGTAGAGTATCACTTGTTAATCTGAACTTATTTAGTACAGTGGGTAGGCAAAATTGTAGTAGCTGTGACCCATAGTTCGTATGAGGCCGTGGAGTGTACCAGTTAGCAGTGTGTCTCGTTGAATGTGTGGAAGGATTTACAGTTAAATTGGTTAATGTGTGTATGTGGTAGCTTTTACGGATTAGTTCTGATCTGAATGTTGTTAAGAGACAGTATTCATAGAGAAATTCAATTTTAAAGATCTTGTATGCACATTGTAGGAAATATTTGAGATGGCACGTATTGCGTTTTGTGATATGATCAAGTTATATAATGATTTTTTTGTCCTGGTTCCCCAAACTAAATGACAATAGCGTAAGTGGGGAGTAAATAGGGCATGATATATCATAAGTTTTTGCTGTTCTGGTAATATGCATTGACATTTTCTAAGAATTCCTACTACTCTATAGAGTTTATTCTTTATGTAATCGGTGTGATGCTCCCAATACATATGTTCATGAAACACAACTCCTAGCATCTTTCCAGAGGGGGAAAATTCTATTTTCACATTATTTAAGTACAATGAATTAAGTATTGGACATGGTGTAGATTTCGCTCTGAAGATAACAGCTTTAGTTTTAGAACAGTTTATATGTAAGGAGTTTTAACTGTCCAAGTGTAAAGCTTGCCTAATGTATCATTTGCCAATGATATGATATTGTCTATGTTCATTCCAGAAAAAAACAAACTCGTATCATCTGCATAAATAACATACTCTATTGATGTGTTTATCCTTGCGATATCATTTATAAAAATAATAAACAAAAGTGGGCCGAGTATGCTACCCTGTGATACGCCATGTCTTATTTTTGCCAGTGGGGATAGTTTTTTCATTATTGACACACACTGATGTCGGCAAGTCAAATAACTTTCAAATAAATTTAAGGCGACACCACGAATGCCATAGCATTTTAACTTTTGCAGTAATGTTGCATGATTTATAGTATCGAAAGCCTTGGAAAAGTCTATTAAAACACCTAACGTTAATCTTTTCACTTCTATATTTTTTAATATTAATTCCTTTTGATGAAGCAGTGCACTTTGGGTTGAGAGGCCAGGCCTGAAACCAAATTGAGATGGTGCTATAATCTGATTTTCTTCAAAAACCTTGACAACCTAATATAAATAATATTTTCTAGACCCTTTGAAAACGTTGGAAATATAGAAATCGGCCTGTAATTACACAGATTATTTTTCTCTCCCCCCTTATATATTACTGTTACTTTGGCAGTTTTCATGTGCTGAAGAAAAGTACCTGTGCTCAAAGCAAGATTATATATGTATGTTTAGTACGGACTGAGGAGGTCGATAACAAAAATATTTCATTGTAGTTTAGGCCATCGATGTCCTCACTCTTACTTATTGTAAAGCGTTTAAATATACTAATTATCTCATGTTCATCTGTCGGAGTGTTAAACAGAGAATTATTGGTAGAAGGGGGCAGGTAATTCAGAGTTTCAGCATCGTATGTGCTATTTACTGGCATAGGCTCATTAAATTTGTTTGCCAACGCTGCTCCTCTGTACACATTATCGCATACAGTAAGCTCATCAATGCTGTTTTTGGATTGCCTTGTAGATATCACCGCATTTAATCTGTTGCACATATCCTTCGCGTTTATCACGCCGTCAAACATAGTAAAGTAGTAGTTGTGTTTGGATTGTCTCTGTAGCTTCGTTAAATTATTTCGGTATGCTTTGAAAGCCTTGAGAGCAGCTGGATCACGCCCTGAATGAAATACATTAAAAAGCTTATTTTTTCTTTTAACATTTTAAGGATGTAGCTGGTCATTCATGGTTTACGCGCTCGTTTAAGTTTTTTTAAAGTGTTTTTTATATACTGAGGTTAATATCTCTGTGAAAGAGCCATATGCCATGTCGGGTGAAGAAGACGACAAAACATCCTCCTAATTTAATGAGCTAATTTCATCTCGAAATGACAAAAGCGAACTTGAATTTATTTGTTGAAATTTCATTTGTGATGAAGTACTGGGCTTTTGTTTCAGGTGTCTAACCAAAGCAATGTGTATGGGTTGATGGTCACTAACTGCCGTATTAAGAACCCCGGAATATATCTCTTCAGTTGGAGCGTTTGATAAGAACAAATCTTTTAAAGTTGCGCTAGTCGGCTTAATTCTTGTAGTAACTGAAATTTTATTAGTACTAAAATTTTAATCGAGGAGAGCCAGTAAATCTGAGCGTTGTCGTGTTCTCTAACATATCTATGTTTACATTGCCGTCCATAAGTAATGTGTATTGTTCGTTGTTTACAAATGTGAAGAAGTTCTCTAGACACAGAAAAAAATTGCTGTTTCTGTCTGGTGGCCTGTATACTACAGAGAACACAAAATTTTCACATTTTAATGAAAGTGTTTCAATATCATTAGAAGACAAAGACCAATCAGTCATATATTCGCAAGTGACATCATTGTTAACATAAATGCAGACACCACCACCTCTTCGTTTTTCTCTATTCAGGTTAACGAGGTTGTAGCCCTCTATATTAATGATATCTACGTCATTTTGGTACCATGTTTTCATAAACATGATAATTGAAAGCTTGAAACTAAATCCTTCAATGAAAGTAATTAAGTCATCTTCCTTAGATTATGCTGATTGAACATTAATGTGCAGAAACGTTAAAGGCCTATTTCACTGATCAGCCAGCAATAAGTTTAGTGCAGTCGGATTTTTGTATGGTGCATTTATTTCTTCATAAAGCAGAGGTAGGCTGCAAGCATATTTATAAGAACTACCTTGAAATGAAAGACAAACATTTCGAAGCATGAAATTACAAAACACACATGCGTACATAGGCCAAGCCGTGTGCCTAGTAGTTTGCTGACACGACTAGTATTTTCAGTATTTTCATACACAGTGTGCAAAAACAAAACAACACATGAAAATAAAGATTCAATAACAACTACCAGTTTGATATACAGGAAAAGAATCGTGTAGGTGTTATAAAAACATCGCAATCTGCAAGTAGTTTGGAAGCAATATAGAAAAACCCAAATCTTCATATATATAGTGACTTCGTTTGGTACATCTTATAGGTGTATATTAGAGGTGAAACTCATGAAAATTTCTTTAGTATCATTCCAGTTGAAAAACAGGAGCATGATGGCAAAATTATCACTCATTGTATATGCTTACAGGACTTTCTGCAAGTCCGCAGCATCCAGAGGAATTTGCTGACGCAATGTTCCTCTGGTCGGTTTCACTCAAGGGAGGGAGATCTGTCACGTGGGCAAGTTGGCAAATGAGCGCTTACTGCTATCTCTCCCTGGAAGGGCAGCAAAGGATTAGCGACTTGATTGCTTAGTCACGGCCTATGAGGTCGGTCGGCTGCGCAGCCTCCCCAAACAAGCCTTTGTGGAGGAAACGCTTTTACGGACATCGTTAGCTCACAGTCTGTAGAAGTTGCCATATTCTTATCCCTTTGTTGCTTCCCGCCGCTGGACTCTCATTTCAGAGAAAGGCATTGGGGTGTCAGGTCGTGGGAACGCACTTCGTCTATGTTTCTTATGGAAAGCATGTTGCCAACAACCGAGAGTCACAACAACGTTGACTATGCTGCATCACACCACATCTGTGACTGTGCTATGTCCACAAGCTCCTTGGAGCTGTCGGACAACGACAGCTGTGATTTG